GGGAAAAGAAGCACTCTGTAATCTTATGATTAAATTTCAGTCTGTTGGTGGGCATATGTTTCTAGGTTGTGACCTTTCTAAGTGTTTCTTAGCTTGTCTCCCATCTCCACTCTCCCTTTAAGTGAGATAAAGGGTAGAGAGCACTAGAAGGGGAGAAAAAGTCTTTCTTCCGTGCGGAATTAGGCTCCAGTAATGTGTTTACCCATGGAAAGTAGGTCTTTCTTGTGTAGAACACTCTGGGCATATTTCACAATGACTGTTCTTCTCTTCCTATTGTCACAGCTATGAGGTGACACTTTTGGCACTTCACTATGAGAGCTTCCTGGGGTTTCTAGAGGTGAAACTCATGAAAATGGGAGGACCCCCAAGACCTGCAGACCCCAGGATTTTCTCATTCTCAAGCTGGTCCAAAGTCAGTCTCCAAAAATTAATAAAAATTATCATTTAAGTCTTCCTGCCAGTTTAGTGGCCTCGTCGTCTAGTGGCCTCTGTGTCAGGTAAGCAGATCTGAATATCTGAGTATCTCTTTGCATGTGCTTGGCCAAATTTGGGGGTGATTGTTTGCTCTGTGACCTCTGTTCTCTGATGGGTCCAAGAAAAGCCAAGGATTTTAAATCTTTTTAGTATTTTCTTGTCATAAGTATTATAGACAACTAAGTCAGGTAGAAATATTCTAGGCAGTCAGATAGGGCTAGGCCCTCAAGGGATTCAGCACAAGAAGATGAGAACACTGTAAGACCCAGATGAGACTTAGCACAAATAACACCATGTTGTTACAGGCCCTCCATCTTGTCCCTGTGGGTTTCAGGTTCACTACAGGACAGAGTTCTCAGAATGTACTTATTTATCTGTTAAGACACCATGGAATGTACCATTGTTTCTGTGTAAGGAACATCCTGTTTGCTAAGTAAAGAACATCTGCAACCCCGCCCCCCCAACCATCCCCTAACTGCAAAAATTCCGCTTCTGTAGTTCTGCTTGCTAAGCACCCCTGCAGCCCCTATAAAACCTTCCAACCCCCTGAGCTCGGGGCCCCTCTCTAAGCTTGTTTGCTTGGAGGGTGCCGTCTGGCCAGACTAATAAAGATCTGTTTTACTTTTCCAACTTGTCTGGTGTGTTCCTTCCTGGGTGTTCTTCAGTGCAGTCAGCTCCTTGGAGCATTTGGTAAGGCCCTCGGTCTTACATTTTGGAGGCCCCAGCGAGATCCCTGGGTGGGAACCCCCGATTTGGCCGAGACTCTGTGGCGGGATCCAGCAGGAGACTCTTGGGTACAGACCTCAGAAAACCTGTTGCAACCATTTGTTAAGTCAGGAGTGAGGTGGCTGATGAGCCAGAAAGCCTCCCCTGACCCCGAGGTTCCTGACAAGGAACAAGGGAAGATTTAGTTTCAGTTTGTCATGGCACCCATTTGTCTCATCTTTTATGTGTTAGTGTTGTGTCTGTTGTGTGTCTGATTTTACGTTCTTTTCAGTCCTCATCAGGAGCAGAGTGATGGGAGGATTCTGCTCTACTGGGTCCACTCTGCTTGACTGTTTCCTCACTAATTTTAAATTGGCTTTTTCTCCAGAACAAGAAAATGAATACAGGGAAAAATTTTCTCACAAAAGACTTTGCTCCTTGTGCCAACTGGAATGGCCAGCCTTTGGGGTGGGATGGCCAGCCGAAGGGACTTTTGATCCCAGTATTTGCCAGAAGGTGTGGGGCAAAGTCACAGGTCACCCTGGTCACCCAGACCAATTTCCCTACATAGACATCTGGGTTCAGGCTTATGAGGAGCTCCCAGCTTGGCTGCAGCACTGTTCCCTCCAAACAGACTCACATTTTAGTCACTGCCCTGAAAGGACCCCGGGGACTTAAGACCTGGGCTCCCAAGCTGGTACTCTCACAGGAGCCTGACCCCCTAGATCCCTTGGGAGGTCTTCCACCCTATGTGGAACCCTCCACCTCCTCAGATGAATCCCATTCTAGACCCCAAAATCCTTCCCTTCCTCTGTCTGTTCAACCTTCGGCTCCTACCTCTCTCCTCCTTTCCCTGAGGGGCCCCACTCCCCAGACTCAGTGACTTCTCCCCCACACATGTGAGCTGGGGCTGTGTATGGACCTAGCGAGGTCCCCGTGGGGGGAACTAGCTCGGCTCCTCTCTTGCCCCTTTGGGAGACTGAGCAAGGTCACTATGTTTATATCCCTTTCACTGCCAGTGACTTATACAATTGGAAACACCAGAATCCTCCTTTTTCAGAGAAACCCCAAGCTCTAATCTCTCTCCTGGAGTCTATCTTTCATACCCATGATTCTACTTGGGATGATTGCCAACAACTCCTCCAGGCCCTTTTTACCTCAGAGGAGAGGGAAAGAATCTGGGGACAAGCTGTAAGGTTGGTATTAGGTGGAGCAGAGGGCCCCCTAGATGAACAGCAGTGGGCCTGTATTGAGGCACAACTCCCATCCACCAGACCCCATTGGCAAGTTAATTCCTCGGGCAGGAGAGAGGCTCTCCAGAACTATTGTCAGCATCTCCTGGCCAGCCTGAGGGGAGCCGCTTAGAAGCCTATCAATTTGAGCAAGGTAAGCAAGGTCCTTCAAGGATCAGAGGAATCCCCTTCTGCCTTTTTGGAGTGACTGTTGGAAGCATACCATATGTATACTCCAATCAATCCAGATGCCCCTGCAAATTGGCAGGCAATAAATTTGGCATTTGTTACCCAGTCGGCCCCAGACATTAGAAAGAAGCTACAAAGGCTAGAAGGATTTGAGGGAGAGAAAAGAGAAAAGTTGATGAGTGTAGCCATGGAGGCATTTAACAACAGGAACCCCCCAGAAGAGAGAATGGCCAAGAGACTGGGAAAAGTGACCATAGCTGCCTTGGCTGATGGAGGATTTGTCCAGAAAGAAAGACCTGAAAACAAAGGAGGGAACAAGGGAAAGATCCAACCCTTATTAGAAAAAGATCAGTGTGCCTATTACAAGGAAAAGGGCCATTTTAAAAGGGATTGTGAAAAGCTAAAAAGAAAAAGAGAAAAGGAGGCTCAAAAGGAAAATGGTGGAATCCTCTTAGTAGATGAAGAAGATTGACGGGGCCAAGGCTCATGGCTGCTTAACCCTAATGAGCCTATGGTGACTTTGGAAATAGGGGGAATAGATGTCCAGTTCCTTATGGACACTGGTGCGGCCAACTCTGTCCTGAAGACCCCCCTTGGACCCCTCACTTCCTTAAAAACCTCCATTACTGGAGCCACAGGAAAGTCAACTTCCTACCCTTGGACCACTAAATGAACTGTAAATCTAGGAAAAGACACCATCACCCATTCCTTCTTAGTTATCCCTGAATGCCCATACCCCTTGCTGGGAAGAGATTTGCTGTGAAAATTGGGGGCTGTTATTTTCTTTGAGCCTGAAGGAGGGACTTTTGAACTCAAGCCACCCTCTGCCATTATGGTAACAGTTTCCCTAGAAGATGAATTTAAATTGCTAAAGGAGGGTACAGAGCCCCTGAACAGAAATGGGACTACCTTCAGAAAAAGTTTCCCCAGGTATGGGCTTAAACCAATCCACCTGGGCTGTCCAAACACCATGCCCTGGTGGTGGTTCAATTGTTGGCCTCTGCTACCCCTGTCCGTGTGCGACAGTAGGCCCTCCAGCTGGAGGCTAAGGTGGGGATCTCCAAACACATCCACCGACTCCAGGAAGCCAGCATCTTGGTCTCTTGCCAGTCAGCCTGGAATACACCTCTGCTTCCTGTGAGGAAGACTGGCACCTCAGACTTCAGACTGGTACAGGATTTTTGGGAGGTAAACAGCCAGGTGGAGACCATCCACCCAATGGTACCAAACCCCTATATGCTGTTGAGTCTCATCCCTCCTGCTCATGTGTGGTACTCAGTATTAGACCTCAAAGATGCATTTTTCAGCCTGCCCCTAGCACCAGTGAGCCAGCCCCTCTTTGCCTTCGAATGGACTGACCTAGACACTGGGACTACTGGACAGCTGACATGGACCTGGTTGCCACAGGGTTTCAAGAACTCCTCCACTCTGTTTGGGGAAGCTCTCAGCAAAGATATATGAGAGGTAAGGAGAGTATTTCCCCAAGCGGCTATTCTTCAGTATGTAGATGACCTCCTGGTGGCAACTTCGACTGATGAAAAGTGTCTTGCAGCCACCGAGGGCCTCCTGGAAGTCCTCCAAGACCTGGGATATCAGGTGTCTTGGAAGAAAGCTCAGCTCTGCCAGACCAAGGTAACCTACTTGGGATATATTCTTGAGAAAGGAAAGAGGAGGCTGGCAGAATCGAGTGTATCTGCAATTCTCCAGATTTCAGAGCTGAGCTCAAAGAAACAGGTGTGGGAATTCTTAGGAGCAGATGGGTATTGCAGAATTTGGATTCCTGGCTTTGCTGAGATTACCAAAACCCTGCATGAAGCCACTGCTGGAGGAAATATGCCCCTCGAATGGACTGAGGCTTGCCAGCAGGAATTTCAATTGCTTAAGACTGCACTTGCATCGACACCAGCCCTGGCATTGCCAGACTTAAACAAGCCCTTTACTCTGTATGTAGTGGAGAGAAATGGGGTAGCCAAGGGAGTGATTACTCAGCTTTTGGGACCATGGAAGTGGCCAGTGGCATACCTCTCAAAGAAACTAGACCCAGTGGCCCAAATGTGGCCTACCTGTCTGAAGACGGTAGCAGCAGCTGCTGCTCTAACCCGAGAGGCTGACAAACGGACATGCAGACAGGATTTGACTTTGATCTCTCCCCATGCCATTGAGCCCTTGTTGAATAGCTCACCTAGCAAATGGCTGTCTAATGCCAGACTGTTACAGTATCAAGGACTGTAGTTAGAACAGCCACACATTAAGTTTGCCACCACCGCTAGCCTCAATCCAGCTACTCTACTCCTGGAATCCAACAAACAGATGCCCATCCAAGATTGCCTCAAGACTCTTGAAAACTTGAGGGGAGGGCATCTGGATTTAATGGACCAGGCCCTCCCCCATGCAGAGACAATGCTGTACAATGGTGGGTGCAGTTTCGTGCGTGACAGAGTGCGGTATGCTGGGGTGGCAGTGGTCAACCAGGACCAGCAGGTGGAATGGGAGCAGGGGCTACCCCAAGGGACATTGGCACAGAGGGCTGAGCTGATTGCTTTGACTAAGGCTCTGGAGCTGGGGAAAGGCAAGAGTATAAATATTTTCACTGACAGCTGTTATGCTTTTGCCACCACCCATGTGCATGGGGAGATTTATCAGAACTGAGGGCTGCTGACTTTCAAAGGAAAGGAAATTAAAAACAAGACTGAGATATTGGCATTGCTACAAGGCATCTGGTTGCCCCAAGAGGTTGCCATCATCCATTGCTGTGGACACCAAAAGGGGCTTAGCCCCAAGATGATTGGTAATAATGCTGCTGATCAGGCAGCAAAACAAGCTGCCCAAAAATCAGTGGGGAAGCAAATGGTTCTGCTTCCCATGCTGGTACTCCCAGAAAAACCTGAATACACAGATAAAGAAGTAGCAGAAATGAACAGGAAAAGCTGGACTCAAGGTAAACATGGGTGGTGGATGACTAATGATGGAAAGGTGGTGCTCCCAGCCTCTGTAGCAGACACGTTGCTGCGTGAACTACATGAGTCCACCCACCTCGGTGAGAAAAGGATGATGGCTGCCCTATGACCCCATTTCATCAGTGAGGGATTGGCCCAAAAGGCCCAGGACATGGTGAGATGGTGCCCCACCTGCCTCAAGGTAAATGCAAATTGGGTGACCAGACCCCCCAGGATCCGACACAGAGGATTAACTCCAGGAGAACATTGGGAATTGGACTTTACTGAAATGAAGCCTGGCATATATGGGTATAAATATTTACTAGTTTTTGTGAATACCTTTTCAGGATGGATAGAAGCACACCCCACTAAAAGAGAGACAGCTGAAGTAACCATCAAAAAGCTCTTGACAGAAATAGTTCCTCGTTTTGGCTTGCCCCTAGCCCTGGGGTCTGACAATGGCCCAGGCTTCATGGCTAAAATATCTAAATTTATTGGTAAAGCTCTAGGGATAAAATGGAATTTACATTGTGCCTATAGGCCTCAGAGTTCAGGGCAAGTAGAGAGAGCAAATTGAGCTTTAAAGGAGGCCCTAACTAAATTATGCCTGGAGACTGAACTAGGTTGGGTAGAGCTTCTCCCCTTTGCTCTCCTTCGCACTAGGTGCACTCCTAAGCCGCCCTTCAATCTGTCACCCATCCAGATCATTTACGGGTGATCTCCCCTGATCATCCCCCTGGCTGATTTGGAGTTGGGGGAAAAGCTTTCCCACCTCCAGCTCCTTAAGTCTTTAAAGGCTGTCCATCAGCTTCAGACAGAATTACATGATAAATTGAGAAAGACCATGCCTGCCCACAACAAGAAACCTCTACAACCCTTGCCTTATAAACCGGGAGATTTGGTTTTTATTTGCAGGTTTGACTCCAAGACCCTGGAACTCCATTGGAAGGGACCATCTCCCCTTGTCCTGGTGACTCCCTCAGTGGTGAAGGTAGCTGGACACTCTGCCTGGATCCACCACAGCCATTTGAAAGCGGCACACCCTGAGGAAACAACGTTGACATGGCGGATCGACAGGAACAAAGAGGACCCCCTCAAGATAAGATTAATCAAGGACTGAGATGGGTAATGTGGGGATTTATAGGAACCTTGGTCCTGTTGGCTCGGGTACAAGGAGATGCTCAATGGCTGGTGCCTTCCAGCCATGCCCCCCAAAATTGGACATAGTCTCTCAAAAATTCACTTACTGGAGCCCTGATTGCCATTGTCACAACAGACAGACAGCCTGTCTTTCAGGTTGACTTGTGTGATATAGGACTGGTTACTGGGACTGTGGGAGTGTCTGACATTGCAGGATCATGTTCAGATCCCCCATCAACCTCTGGGGGGGAAACAGGGATGGTCTACACTTAACAGAGAAAGGGGTCTCCAGACCATAGATATTTATGCATGTCCTATAGGTAAAGATCCAAAATGTAATGGGAGGCCAGGATACCATTGTTACTATTGGGGCTGCAAGTCCATAGCCCCATGGAAAAATAATGGCCTGTATTTAGCCTTGGAGTGGCAAACAGCTAGTAGCTCGTGCTCCCTGGGATATTGTAACCCCATTCAGTCAATGCTAAAACAATGGCAAAATCCATACAAAGAATAAGAGGAAGGTAAATCTTGGACGGTGGCACTGAGTGCTAATGGGCAGGACCCAATGACAGACATCATTATTCAGCGAAGTCTGGTAGTGATGCCAGCCAAACCAGTGGGAAACCTTTATAAGATATTGAGCCCCCCAAAAGACAGTGGCCAACCCCACAGGTGCTGAGGAAATTCCACTTCCTCTCCGCTGAGAAAGAAAACATGCACTCACCCCGCCAGCCACCCGGGTAACACCCTATCCAATGAGGTGCCTGTACATGCCCCAGAGTCGCCAATCCAACCATACTTAAAAATGCTGGATGCTATGTTTATGATGTTAAATGGATCAAACAATAATGTTACTAATGAATGTTGGATGGGTCTAAACCCAAAGCCCCCATATTATATAGGAATAGCAATCAATGGAACTTACACTGAAACCAGCCAAGATGGATGTCATTGGAAACAGACGAGGTTGTCAATAGGGGATATACATGAAAGAGGGTCATGCGTTAAAAACCCTAAGGTCACCTCATCTTACTTGGACAGTGCTTGCTTTTACCAAACAGCTTCTACAGAACCTGATAAGTACCTAAGGGCAGAAAACAACTCATGGTGGGCATGCACAGGAGGCATAACCCCTTGCCTCTCTGTTGCTGTCCTACAAAGGGAGCCCAAGGTTTGTGTGCTGGTCCATATCTTGCCCCAGGTATTTATATATGGTGGAGAACAGGGATGGGAATATTTGACCAGGAAAGTCCACCCTATAAAAATAAAGCATCATCCTGCCCTCATCCTAGTACTGGCTATAGGAGGGATTGCAGGATCCACAGCTCTAGGAGTAGCAGCATTGGCGGTGCAAGAGGCCAACTTTAAGGCCCTAACTCAACAGGTGAAGATAGACTTGGGCCTAATCACTAAATCAGTATCCCATCTAGAAAAACAAGTGGACTCTTTGCGGAAATGGTCCTCCAGAACTGCCGAGGTCTCAATCGATCTCCTGTTCATGAAAGAAGGCGGGCTGTGTGCAGCCTTAGGAGAACAGTGCTGTTATTATGCCAATAAATCAGGAGTTATTCGACCCACCCTGGCTACAGTGAACAAACATTTGCAAGAAAAATATGACAGATTAGAAGAAAATTCTGGGTGGTATCAGTCTTTGTTTAACTGGTCTCCCTGGTTGACTACCCTTGTTTCTGCCCTTGCTGGACCCCTGTTAATCCTGTTACTAGCTTTGACTTTCAGCCCATTCATTATTAATAAACTTATGGCCTATTTAAGGGCCCGGGTAGGATCTGTTTGCCTAATGGTTCTAAACCAACAGGCTAGGTACTGTCCAATACCTCTTGATGAAGAAAGCCATGTGTAAGATTACTTGCTTGCATAAAATCAGTGGGGAATGTAAGACCCAGATGAGACTTAGCACAAGTAATGCCATCTTCTTACAGGCCCTCCATCTTGTCCCTGTGTGTTTTGGGTTCACTACAGGACACAGAGTTCCCGGAATGTACTTATTTATCTGTTAAGACACCATGGAATGTACCATTGTTTCTGTGTAAGGATCATCCTGTTTGCTAAGTAAAGAACATCTGGAACCCTGCCCCCCCAACCATCCCCTAACTGCAAAAATTCCGCTTCTGTAGTTCTGCTTGCTAAGCACCCCTGCAGCCCCTATAAAACCTTCCAACCCCCTGAGCTCAGGGCCCCTCTCTAAGCTTGTTTGCTTGGAGGGTGCTATCTGGCCAGACTAATAAAGATCTGTTTTACTTTTCCAACTTGTCTGGTGTGTTCCTTCCTGGGTGTTCTTCAGTGCAGTCAGCTCCTTGGAGCATTTGGTAAGGCCCTCGGTCTTACACACACATCAAAAACTGGCTGGAGGTGCATCTAAAGAAGATTAAAGTCACAATGGCCAAATTTACATACTTCCGTAAGGATGCTTGAAAATATTGGTAGCACCCTTTTGAGATTTCCCATATAAATAAACCATCATCTCATTGGAGTGGGCCATCCTTTCCTACCCACTAACACTAAAACTAAGGCTATTAAGACTAAGAATACTAAGACTAAAGATAAGACTAAGACTATAGATTATCGACCAAGGTTGTTCTTGGTCGATGTTCTCCATATGCCCTTGCTACTCTTGGATCAATATTAGCTAGGTGGCTATACTTGTAATTGTATTGGTTGATTATAATTTGACCCACATTGAACCCAGCCATCATGATTTTGCTGTATAAAACTTCCTCCAAAAAGTGGGTTTGTTGCCAACCCATTCAGACCCCACCTGTCTCTCAGGAGCTATTCCTATTCCCCATTCTTAGTCCCCATTCCTAGTCCCCAGTAACTTTTCCTACTTTTAATCTCTGTTGTTCCTTAGAATTCATTCTTTGACTTTGGAGAACACAAACTTGATGTATCTGACATCTAGCAGGTTGGGAGTTTTATTCATTTCCCCTCTATCATAAGGATGGAAGTGATGATTTCCAAATGTTTTACACATTGGACTCCAAACTAGAAGTCTGGATATCTTTCACAGCATCCAGCACTGTGTTAAACAGGCATTGACACACCATGTCTTGGCTCATTTTCCACCACTACTACCTGGAACATTTCCCTACCATTTTACACAGCTGCACCGGATGCTCTTCCTGCCAAGAGGAGTTGGAACTTTGGCAAGTTGTGTTTTAGTGGTTGCCAATCCCTGAATACAAGCACTGAGTATGTGGAGTGAGTGATGGAATTCAGCCAGCATTAAGACAGGGATTGTCTGACTAGGCCTCTTCAATCTTTGATCCAGATACTGCATTTGCATTATAGTAGAAAAAGACTTCTCTTTTGGGCTGATGGCTCAGCCTTTTCTGGAATGGCCATTTGTCTCCTCTTGGGTGAGTGAGAGTCTTCCCTGAGGACTTGCTTTTTGAAATGTAAATACCAACTGTAAATACTTTGACTTATTTTTTTACTTTGCTCTTTACTCAATGATAATTCCTTCCCTCCCTCCCTCCTTGCTTCCTTCTCTCTTTTTTTAATAGCATATGTTATGTTTGTGTTAGGTTAATCATTTACTCATTAATGGTAGCTTTTAGCAGAATAAGACAATCTAGCTAAAGACCACTTGTTTCTAAGATTTTCTCATAACTGATTGATATTTAAATGAATAAAAGCAATTACCAGCTACTATGTACAAAGTTTAAAATGAGAGGCTTTAAGTGACATTCAATGGCATGCTGTAAATCCCAAAGATTAGGCATTCTTTTTATACAGTAAAGGAAGTGATATAGACAGCTAAGTTAGGTGGAGATGTTGTAGACAGTTAGGGCTAGCCTCTCAAGACAGTTCAGGAGGTGAGAATACATCAAAACTGTGGCTGGAGGCTCATCCATTGAATGTCAGGCCTCAAGATAAAGATGAAATGCCTACATACCTCTGAGGGCTAAGCAAAAGCTTGAGTAGCACCCTTTTGAGATACATAAATAAATCATTATTTCATTAAGAGTGGACTATCTTTTCCTATCCACTAAGACTAAGATTAAGGCTACTAAAACAAATACAAGTCTAAAACTATGGGTTATTGATCAAGGTTAATGATATCATTCATGTATGCTTACTTTATGACTTTCTTCCCCATTGGATTAATATTACCTAAGTGATTATACTTGTAATCCTATTGGTTGATTAGAGTTTTGGCCCACCTTGTACCCACCAATTGATTTTGCTGTATAAAACCTCCCCTATAAGTGGAGTCCATGGCAACCCACTTTCTGGGTCTCCTCCTGTCTCTCTCAGGAGCTGGCTCTCCTCAGGAGCTGTCTCTCCTTTAATAAAATTCCCTACTCTTCACCTCCATCATTCCTCAGAATTAATTCTTCAGTTTTGGGGAACATGAACTTGGCACATTGGACATCTAGTAGTTTTGGGAGTTACATTTATTCCTCTTGTATCAGAAGGAAATCTACATCCAAAGTGCACGTTTAGGTTGCCATCACTTAATAATTTTTAATTTTAGCCACTTTTGAAGCAAATAGCAGTCACTTAAAGAATTATTTCTGTGAGGATTATGTATTTGAAAGAAAGACAGTTTATGTGTGTGGGTGGGTTGTCATAGCATTAGAGGATGAAGACCAATGTGATATTTTAGGGAGACAGATTTCTCCTCTATCATTTTCATGTGGAACACTTAAATATTCAATGAGTATTTATTGAGTACTGTCATATTTTTGCCAGTATTGGCTATAGGGAATTCAGTGAGAATAGGACAGACAAGATCTCTTCTCTCATGAATCTCACACTCTGGTTGGAAAAATTGACAATGAGTAAAAACAATGAAAAAATAAAAAGAGTCCAGGGTGATAAGTGCCCAGATATGGGATAGAGAATGGCTGGGTGAGTGAATGAGAAGAGACCCCACATTAATTATAGTGGAATAAACAAGTCTTTAAAGAAGGTGACATTCCCATTAAGAGAGTAGAGTTCAGCCAGGGATTTAGCTCAGTGGTGCCACTGCCTGCCTCGCAAGCACAAGGTCCTGAGTTTGATCCCCAGTACCAAAAGAAAAAAAATAATAACGAGTTAACCAACCATTCAGTAATTTTTTGAACTTTCACAACAACTGGAGACATTAGTAACATTAGTTCAGTAGGAATAAGCAAAGAAATTACTCGAGTAGGTGAAGCAATTTCTCCAAAATTACTAGGCTTCCCATCCTATTCCATTTGCCTCCAAAGCTGCTCTCTGCCCAATCCATCTCACAGGTCCTTGCTGCTTACTTGCTGTCTCAAGTGTAGGTGGAAAACAAGCTCTCTGTTTGACTGAATTCAGACTTTGGAGCTTCATGAAGCAGCCAATTCTCAAAGACAAGTAATGCTGAGTTATCAATTTTCTCAGAAAGAACATTAGAAAGAAAAAAAAGACAACCACCAAATTTGTATTAATATTGTATAAGAGAGGACATTTTAATACCAAAAATATTAAAAGGATATTTTCTTAGATCACATTTTAGAAATAACTTCTAAGGCTACCTCTGACTTTGAGAATCTTAGGGGGATGCTAACCCTCAACTCTTGTGTGGAGGACCATGCAGGCAGAGACTGTAGAAGATATAGATTCTCTACTAGTTGAATCAGCTCAGGAAAAGGCAGGTCACCTTGACCTAAATAATTCCAGTTGGATATTTTTTTCTTAAAATGTTTGCTAATTTAGGGAAAAGGAGATGAGGAATTCTCCATTTATTAGATAGTTCAAATCCAATTTAGAGCTCTGTACAAAATATTTCTAAATGTTTTGTATAGGTACTTTCTCACAGTGGTTTGGACAAATTAAGAAGTTTAGACTACTTGTTTTTCCTTATAATTAGGGAGTTGGAAATTATCACTTGAACTCCTATTATTAAGATCATTTGTGTCTTTGTCACGAATATTCAAGTGTTGATCAATTTATGTTAGTATATTTGTCTCTCTAATCTTGGAATATAAGCAAAACTAGGAAATATGTAAGAATAAGTACAGTTTAAAATTCTAAAAAAATATGCTGATAATTATGGAGGAAATAATATTACACAACAGCAGCAATAGCATGTTTGAGGCCATTTCCACCATGTTTCAAGCACCTTAATTGTAGCAGTTGTGCCAGAGTTCATCTCACTGAGACAGGATAAGTGTTGGGCTAAAACCTCAAGAGTCAATTGCAATTTTAGTTTTGTATGTACATAGAAAAGATTGCAAAGATACAAGCCCTTTGAGTATCTGGCTCTTTTTTGTCAATATAACTGTTATTACCTTCACACTATTCTATTTCTCTCTCTTGAGCATACAGAGCTAAAAGCAATTTTACAAAGCAATTGAAAGGATGAAAAGAAACACAAATTATGAAAAATGTATCAGGCAGATGAATGCATTCTACAATACTAATAAGTCCTAGAATGCTTAGAATTAGTCTGAAGCCTTTCTTCTGATTGATGTTAAATATGTACATATTTGTAATTTTTTAAAGAAATTGAGGATGGTAGAAGAAATGAGAAGTAAGAAACATGTAAGAAGCGAAATCACTAGTAATCTTATTATCAAGATAAGCATTATTAATATTTTGATTAATTCCTTCCAATCTTTAAATATGTATGGATATAATGAATATAATGTGTATGTAATGTCATGTCCCTTCATTAAATTATATGAGGCATTATCTATGACACCAAATATATTTCAAACACCTGATTTTGCATGATGATCTACAAATATTTTGTCATATAGAAACATAAAATTTTCTAATTACTCCCCCACTCTTAGACATTAAACTTGTTTCAGATTCTTCCTACTTAAAAAATAAGGCTGCCCTTTATTTTTACTCTGGGTTTCTCATATAGAGAAACTGTATGATAGTTAAGCTTATGTGTCTGATATAATATGAAGTAGGGAAAGGATTGCTCTCAAAGAGGAAGGGGACCAAGAGATGAGGGTGGGGAGGAGAGGGAAACTGGATGGAAAAAATGAAGATGTGTTATGTGCATGTAACAACTTCCCACAAGTAGTAGAAACATTATATACTACACACACGTACCAATAAACTAAAACAAAAAACCATAATGATGAAATGAACATACACCATTTTGAATCTATGCTGGCAATTTTAAAATATTTCCTTAGATTAGACTTCCATAGTTAGAATTGCTATGTTAAAGACTATGGAGTCCAAGAATCAGTACAGCTGAAATGTAAAAGCTATTACTATAGTCTAATAATTCATGCTATAGATATTGTCACAGAAAAAAGGAGTTTGATATGCACTAATGAAAATGTGGGAAAAACTTTTAAAAAGTGAGAAAAAACTTTAGCTAGTTAAAAAGAAGAAAAAAGGAGTTTGATAATTTGATAAATGAAAATATCTCCTTGTTGCAGTAATTGGAATTGCCTTCTTTTCCCGTTTCAATGAGATTCATTTGTACATCTGTTCATTAAAATATTCCATAGGCCAGTGGTGGTGAGTCTATGGCACGCATATTTTGTGTTTTTCTTTAAAGACAAAAAAAAGTTAATGTATGAGTTATTTTTTTAAAACTAAAACCTCAGCATTCAGGTTTAATTGCAGTGTTGGCGATAAATAAGTGAGTTTGAGGTTGCAATTTGGGCACTCATCTCTGAAAGGTTCATCATCACTACCATAGACTTGTGTCTGGTGGCTACATGGGTGTGCAACCTGTGCAGTTACTCAAGGCTCGGTGTCAGGAGTGACTCAGTACTCTGCAGTTATCATCATGAAATTCTTAAAAATTTTATTTTTGAATTTAAGTTTTATACGTGAAGTATGATAGGACGTAGGGTGTGCATGCAACCAGCAAAGAAGCAGAGAATCCATTTGGTCATGCTATTCTATGCCATTCCAGTCACGCATAGTGTTTTGGTGTCCCATGGACACAGAGTTCTAGTGGACCTCGCTTGGGGGTTCAGTGACACTCAAAGCCAGTTCAGCTGAACCTGCTGACAGCCACTGGTGGCCACACTTTCTGTTTTCTTGCTTCAAATGCAGAAAGAAGACAAACACTTTCTACAAAATGAATGACCAAGGAATTCTGTCATATTTTATCTTACTCATATTACTTTCTTGTGTTAGATAGTCACTTACACTGGAAGTAATGTGATAGAAGGAAAAAAGGAGATAACTCAGCCCCTTTCTCTTTTGTCCTTGCTTTTTCATGATAAAGAACATAATGTTGTGAGCAAAAGAAGAGTGTAAACAGGGCCCTGAAATGGAACTGTGGATGCATGAGGTTGTGTATCTCCTGTGAGTAAGAGCTATTTTGGACCCTTATACTTGCTGGAAGTGGAAATGAATATATATGCCAACTCGATTGGAACATACCAGAGGTCAGGTTGCAAATCTATTTCAAGGATGATATCACATCTGGTATATCAACCTGGTATAAGATATCAGGTATATCTTAACGACTTAGCTAAGATGGCAGTAGTTAACAGCCATCCACTCTCATCCCAGCTGGTACAGATGGGTGATTTAAATGGGAACTTCCACTCTTGATCCTCTCAAGAGGGTGTACATCTCAAGAGGGTGCTGATGTCTACAGGGGAATTGCTGTGAGCTTGTGACCAGTTTGGGGTACATAGTGAGTTTGAGTCCAGCTTAAGCCACATAGCATGACCCTGTCTCAAAAAGGAAAAATAAAATAAAACAATACATCTGCAAAAAATGAATTTGGAAACATTCTCTTTTCTTCAATTTTCAATTACATTTGTGTAATGCAGATATTTCTTGTTCAAAAATTTGGTAGAATTCAACAGTGAAGTCACTAGTGAAGAACAGTGTCTAAAACAAGGAACTGTGACTTTTCATGAAGGGCTCACCTCAGTTCTTCTTCTCCTCTTTTCTTGTCATATTTTGATTATGTGTGTTATGCAATACCATGCTGGCTATCCAATTATGTTGCCTCTAGGAATACATAAGACATGACTATGAGTTATATCCATAGATCCTTTTGAGCCAGGCTTCAGCAGCTGCCATTCCAACTTGTTTCCTGTTTTCATGATTATGTTTTTCTCACAAGTGAGGGCTAAGTGATGCTTTTGGCTTTTCCTATTGGGGTCCTATAGCATCCCCACTGCTACAGGGAACCCAGTTCTGTACTAGTCTCTATCAGCAATGGTTTCCAGAAGGGAAGACTCTTGAGCATCTCAGTGATGCTAGTGACCCCTCACTTGAGAATTCTTTGTTGCCTTGGCAAGGGAAGAGCTATCTGGGCCATCTCTAGGAATATAATCAACTTTTGGTTTTATGTCTTATATGATAGATCCATTCATTCATGCCTACTTCTCTGAGCCTGTTGATTTCTTGCTCTACAGTCTGTTAGAGTAATACTGGCATAGGCTTATTGTGGATCACTTTTTTCAAGCTTCTGAGAGCTAGCTCAGCAGTATATTGATCTCAGGAATCTCTTTTCATGGTATTAAATCCTGAATCAAAAGAGAGAAGTACCATTGAGGAATTCTCCCTAATCCAGTTCTACATTCTGTGTCTTCGGTAGATCTACTCCTGGTACAAAATTTCTTCAGAGAGGTTCCTAGAAGCTTGATATTCTCCTGCAAGTTCTTTATAAAGGGAGCATTCCCCAGAAAAACCTATAAAGAAGTGCAGGAAAGCAGAATAGACCAGGAAAAACAGTCAGGAAAAAAAAATGTGTTTCAGTAGAAGTCCAGCCTTAGCCTGATGCTGTGGGGAGCTGTGGAGTGTGAATTTTGCTGTAGAAGTTGTGCTTCACAGAGGGGGCCAGGTGTGACACCCTTACATCAGTTTGCCATCCTGCCCCCTGGGGTCACATAGGGGAGTGTGACCTCCCAGACAAGGTGGCTCTAACCAGCTAAGGACAATTCTGCCGAGAAGGCTGAAGATGTGTACTATTAGCATCTGTAATCCACAGCAGCTAAGGATGGGTACACTGATTTAATAAAGGATTACCAGATGGTTCACAAAAGACAAAGCCTGAAAAGAATCTGTTGTAGTAGCACCTACAACAAGGCATTTGGGAGCTGAGGAGTTTTACAAGAAATTTCTTTCACTACTTTCAACTTTGATTCACAAGACAATTCATTAGATGTGTAAGGACCAAAATGGACATTACCTGCTCTGTATACAGCTTAGCCCTGTGAAGTAAGAACCGCCATGTATGTCTGTAAGGTTAGTGAACATTTTGTATGTTATAAAAATGCATTTATTTAAAGATGTCTTTTGTCTTAAGTTTTAACATGAGGTATGAATAATAAATTATTGAATATTGCATATGTTATTATTGAACATGGTCTGAGGGTAAAACATAAGATCTGAGAAAGCCCAAGGAAAGTACAGAAATAACCATACTACAAAATAACTATGACAGGGAAAAATGACTTGTTTCTTTTGGCACTGTAAATAATATTAACTATTACAGTAATTATGCCTATCTTAATGTGACATGATGGTTTTTGAAAATGGGGGTTAAATTGGGTGGACAAGAAAAATCTTTTTTTTCTTATTGAAATTAATGGTAATTATATTTTTTACTTTAAGAAATCAGCAAAAAAATTATCTTCAATTAGATGCAGAATGATAATGTATCAATTAAATTAAAAATGTTATTTGTAATAATATTCAGACCTTCTATGTCTTTGTCTATTTTTTTCTTCCACTTGCTTACTTTTTAGAGATATATGCTAAAATCTCCACATAAAATCATTAATTAATGTATTATTTTCCCATCAGGTTTGTCAGTTTTTGGGTTTTTGTTGTTGTTGTTGTTGTAGTTTTTTGCTAGTACTTGGAATTAAGCCTTGAGCCTTTACACTGAGTTATGACCCCAGCACTTTCTTTTTTAGTTTTATTTGGGGACAGTGGCTTGCTGAGTAACTAAGATGCCTCCTGGGTTGAAACTTGTGATCTTCTGCCTCAGCTTTCCAGGGTGCTAGGATTATGTGTGTATACCACCATGCTTGGCTGTAAGTTTTGCTTTATAACTTTATATAACCTGACACTACTTTAAAATAAATTTATATTTAATTGGCACATGGTAAATATGCATATTTATGGGGTACAATATGGCATTTTAATATATATGTACAGTATATATGATGAAATGAGGGCAATAGGCATATTACCTTGGACATTTACCATTTTTTGTATTGAGAACATTAAAAATCTACTCTACTAGCTATTCTGAAACTTTCAATTAATTGTCAACCATTGTTATCCTATTGTGCCATAGAACATGACAGCTTATTTATCCTACCCATTTATCCTACCCATCTACACCCCTGAACCTGTTAACCATTCCCCTCCCACACTCTTCCCATGGTCTGCTAACCACTATTCTATTCTCTACTTCCATATGTTTGGCTTTTGAGCTCCTGCAGAGTAGTAAGGAGATGTAGAGCTTGCTTTTCTATGCCTGGCATTTTACTTAACCTAATGTCCTGCAGTTCCATCTATGTTTTTGCAAATAACAGAATTGCATTCTTCCTATGGCTAAATAATACTTTAATGTGTATATATAGCATGTTTTTCTTTATTTATTAATCCATCTAATGACTCCCTATGTTGATTCCATATCTTGGCTATTGTGAATAATGTGTAATGAGCATGGAAATGGAGATATCTCTGACTTTGTTACCTTTAGATATATATTCAGTAGTAGGATTGCTGGATCATATGGTAATTTTATCTATAATCTCTCTCTCTCTCTCTATATATATTATATATATATAATATATGTATCTATCATTTTATCTATAGTTTCCTGAGGATCTCCATTCTGTTTTTCATAATGGCTGTGCTAACTTGTATTCTCATCAACAGCTCCCCTTTCTCTATACCTTTTTTCAAAGGCTATTTTTTAATTACATAAATGTTAATGATAATTATATTTTCATAACCTATTATTCCTTTTATAAGTATTTAATTTGTCTTTTTCATACAATTTTATTTTTCAGTTAATCTTATGTTAAGATTACTGTTTTTTAAAATTTTTGCCTTATGTATACTTTTAATACTTATTTTTGTGTTTGTCTTTTAAGGTATTATATTCTTAGCTCTTTTTAGATATTGGTGTCTGGACTCCTATCCTGTGATTGGAGAATTTAGCCCATTACAGGTATAATTACTATTCTACTATTGTATTTATAAGGTAAATATACATTTTTTTGTGCACAACACTAGTCTATTAATTATCCTTTTGTGCAGTATTCTATTGTATGAATACAGCAAACTGAATCTATTCTTTTGTAGATGGACTTTTGGATTGTTACCAATTTTGGGTTAATACAAACAATATTTCTGTGAGCATTATACATACATATTCATACATATTTGGAATGCACATGTTTTTCTTGGGTGCATTTTTCTAGATAATACCACACTGTTTTCTAAAGTGAACATGACTAATATCCTGACATCAGTGTTTGAGAGTTTTCTTTATTTATGTCCTCAACAGTATTTGTTACTATCAAAGCTTAATTTTTTATTCTTTGGGTTTTATAGTGGTATCTGATTCTTATAGATCAGTGATATAAAATATATTTATTTGTCATTTGCATTGTTTTCACAAAGCATGTTTTTAAATCTTTTGCCTGAATCTATCATCCATTAGCCAAATAACTTTAAATGAGCCATGACTTACTTCATCTTTAAAATGAGCTTAATAAAATCTCACTTTAACATCTTAGCCTAATAGTGTCAACTTGCCATCTGTTCAACATTGGAAACTACCTTCACCTACATCAACTTTTGTGAGCATTAATTCTCATATATCAACTTCATCGGATTAAGAAATGCCTAGCAGATTAGTAGAGCACACTGTTGAGTGAGTCTGAGTGGGTCATGAAGGCATGGCCTTATATGGTCTCTCCCTGATTCATCTCTGACACTGTTTCCTTCTCTGCTCCCTGGCTATCATGAACTAAACCACTTTGTTGCTCTGCTCAACATAGTTCTCACGGCATGGAGCCAGGTGACAATGGACTGAATCCCCCCAAGCCATGAGCCAAATTAAACCTCTCCTCCTTTAAGCTGTGAGTGTTGTATATTGTGTTCAGCAATAGGAAAGCTGACTAACATGCCTTTCCTGTATGGTTCCAAGTTACCAGAAGTCAAAAGAGGAGCTGGCCTGAGATTTGGAAGGTGCAAATGAAGCAGAGCTTGGCATATTGAGGGAGACAAACTCAGTGACGGACAGACCCAAAGACGTTTAGTGGGTCTCAGAATGTCATTGTTTCTTCTCACTGTACATTCAGAGTGACTACTGATTCTGCTGATCAACAGTAACATGAAAGCCCCCCATCAGTCACTTAGTCCCAGACCACAAAGGTAAGAAAGTTGCTCTCCAACAGCAACTTCCCAGAGTGGAAGTTTCCGAAGAAGAAATGGAGCCCACAAACCTTCATGATTGATGCATTCCCCTCAAGTTCCCTGCTGTCCACTTGAGCTGCCATATCAGTCTGACATGGTTAATAAGTATTTTTTTGGATCCTCTTATTTTTCCCTTTTAGATCTTTGTTTGCCCAGCTCCTATCACATTTGTGTAAATCTAATTTCTATATAAACATTTTATTTCTATAGTACTTGCACTGGCTGTGGTAACTCTGACTTAACTCTAACTAACACAATAGATTTGACAGTGATATAAACATGCAAAAATTCTTTGAAACCTCCAAATTACTATTTAAATATAATTATTGGGCTAAGCTAAGTAGTGCATTGCTGTGTTTCTGACAGATCAGGTGACATTTAAAATGGTGAAGAAAGCAAGCCAATATGGATTGCTATGGGCAGCATGTTTCATGGAGACATTTTATTCTGTCATTTGTCTGATAGTGAATTCATTTGCTACCACGTGGATGCCAAAATATTCCATATAGTCTTACTTTTCAATTGTATTACTTATAAGAAAGAGATTGTAAAATAGATTTATAGAATCTCTGGAATACAGGCTTGGCATCATGAAATAATGCATATAATAAATTACAATAAATAATAAGTGTGGAGTTGGAGGTGAAGCTCACTTTGTTAACCTGTGCAATGCCCTGGGTTCAACACCAGAACAGAAATTTAAAAAAAAATCCATATCCAGAAACACAAATCAAGAGTAACTAGAGAGGTACAAGAATACAGGCAAAAGATAAAAATGAATTTAAAAAATATGGGACAATCCTCTACTGTAAAGGGCTCATTTCTGTCTGCCTCTGTGTTATGTTAAGGTTGAGCTTTCCTACAGATCATTTTCAGAGATTGCCACAGACTCAAACATTGTTGATGTAATTATTTGTGTTGATTTTCCTTAGACCACTAAACTAGCATATCTTTAACAATCGAGCAGTGTTCTGGTTAATAGAGAAATAATTGGTGAGCCAAATAGTGGATTTCAGCAGCTGCTTTCATTATTTAATGGCCAGAATAATAGTAATAGTACTTTTCAGCCATTTAAGATTTTAGAACTAACACTTCTGCCATGACTATAGTTATCTCATGAGTTGTCTCAAGGAAACATAGAAAAGACTGTGAGCAGAAGTATAGTCAAAGGATTGTGGGGATATTGGTAGTTGTGAAAGGGTGTTAAGTTGCACAATATCATTTAAAAAAATTCATCCTTCTGAATGAAAAATTGTTATTAAATTCCTTCAGGATAATTCATATTTTCTAGTGTCTTGTTTCTTCCCACCCCTATTAACTTCTCAGTTAATTTAATAATGTTTGTGCAAGAACCTGGTCTATGTATGACCTTTGACTAGTTCCAGTACAGTTTCTGTCACCAGAAAGGTTATGATAATGCAGGCAAATAAGAACTACACAATTATACTAACTTAAGGAAAAAGATATGAGTCATAAGAAAAATTAACAAAGAGGAAAAAAATTAAGAGATTAAGACTGACATGGTTTGGAGATTAATTGAATAGTTCTTCTCACAGCCTTTTTGTGGTATAATAGACAAATAAAAATTGCATATATTCAAAGTCTACAATTTGATGATCTGTTATAGGTTTACATTATATAATAATTATTACAATTAAGTTAATTAGGAATTTATTACCATCCAGTTAATTTGCAAGTGTATACCTTATTATTTTCTTGAGACAAATGGAATTTTGAAGAAAAAAAATCCAGAATGGTTCTTAGCTTTCTAGTTTTCTTTATTTAGAAAAAAGTGATTGCCATTAATGTAATTTTAGTACCCAAAGAGATGAGTTTTGAAATATAGAAGTACAGTGACTTTGGATATGTTAGGATTTTAATTAGTATTCATTCAAGAGGTCATTTTGGAACATCTGGGTAGTTGCAAAAGTACGTATTGAGTTCAGGAGAGGAGAAAAGACAAGGTAGAAGATATAAATTTGGTAACCATTCAGGAAATCAATTTTACATAGAATCTATACTTTTATACAGAATTCTCAACAGGTTTAAAATTAGTAGAAATTGTTTCATGGTAGAATAATTTTTAATAGTGAAAAGAATAAAGGCATGAGCTTTTATTTTGTACTTTAATAGCTTGATAATTCTTTTCTATGAAGAACCAAAATGTAAGTACTCTGCTACATGTGGTCTGAATATCTACAAGCTAAAGAAAAATTGAAGATTTAAAAACTAATGACCTTTGGCTGGTGATTAGAAAACATCACTAGTAGAAAATAGGAAAAATTAAATAAAATGTAGAAAGCAAGGAAATACAGATGAAAAGAGAAACAGGATACCCAATTAGAATGTATAGGTATAGAAAACATTACTATAGTTATTACTATTAAGAATTATTTTCAGAAATTTCTAAGGGATGTTTCTATTCTACCTTCATTTCTGCATTTTTGTATTGTGAGTTGAACTGTGCCCCCCCCAACCATGAGCTTAATTCTCACTCATAGGACAGAAAAATGTAGAAAATGTGGCCTTGTTTAGAAATGACCTTTGAGATATAATTAAGTTAAGATGAGATCTGTTTGACCTTAATTCAAAATGATTGGTGTCCTTATAAGAAGAGGAAAATGCTACGTGATGAAGAAAACACACAAGGAGAGCTCCACAGATGATGAAGGGTTTGGAGCCACACAACTACAAGCCAGTTGTATGAGGATTTGATGGTTACCATGAGAAGCTAGGAAGAGGTAAGGAAAAATCCTAGAGAAACCATGGCCTTGTTGATGATTTTGGACTTCTAGTCCCCAGAACTGTAAAAGAATAAATTGCTACTGTCTGGTTTTGGTACTTTGTTATGGCAGCCCTAGGAAACTAATATACCTTTTTTCTCTCTCTTATTTATATCATCTCTTCATTTAATCAGTATATATTTATTGAGCACCCACTTTACACTTCACTCTGATCTTTCATTTCCCAGATTTCAGATTGCCCACTTAAGATGATTTTTGACATTTAGAAGATTAATAAATAAGATAGAATAGCACAAGCTACTTTGCTTGATCTTTTTACCCTCCATTGTATTAAAGGTGCTCCCAGTAGTGTCATCTTTGACAAAGCACAATACATATGGATGAATATTTTCCAACATTTATAGGTTCTTAGCTCAAAGGTATACTAAAAGTGTCAAGTTGCTACAGAGTCCTTAGATAAATGGTATGCATGACGCTAGGCTTGAAGGCTTGTTTATACTAAAACTGATAAGCCCAACGCTGTGAGTTATCACTAACTTGAGACCAGAGTCAGAAGGTATGAAAGGCTTCTTAGGGGAATGATGAAATCTGAGAAGCCCTAAAATTCTTCAAAAAATTTTTCTAGGTGAATTGCATCTGTTCTCGAAAGAGTAAAGTACAGCTACTGGGACATGAGTATGCTGGCTGGATGAATAATGATGACTATAAAAGGTGGTTGCAGTTGGCAATCAGGCAGTAAAGATATACACCTTGTATGTTTTAACTTACTGCCATGGTAGTATCAAAAGTGCTAGGCACAGTTTTCTTCAGGAACTGAATTTGTTGACTATATGTCATGTCCCATGACAGGACTAACACAATAATTATAATGTGAAAAATGCTAATGTTGAAAGCATTTTTTTAAACTCTCAAAGTGATAGGAAACATCTCCATAGATGATACCACAAATATTCAATCAGAAAATTTAAGAAGAAATGAACTGTTATTTATTTA